ATGCACGTCACCGCACGTGAAAAACTCAAGGTCCTTCCTAGACCTTTTCCCTTGGAAACAAGTCACTACGGGCACAGCGGACAGCTGCAAGTCTTTTTCACTCAGCTTGAGCCAAACGTTCACGGAGTGCGTCGGAGTTCACACATAAGTGTGGAAACGAATTCAAACAAACGAATTATAGTATTGGGCTCTAACCACACAGAGATTTACGGAGTAAATCTTGTGGGATATAAACATACCACAGAGGATCCATCAAGGAGTCCTCACAAACAACAAAGGTACACTTTGAGATCGAAGATTCTCAAATGTACCCGGAAGGTTTCGTAAACCGTGGGATCATCAAGATTCCCATCCAAACCTTGAAACCGTTCCCGAAGCAAAACAACACTCTAGCAGAAGTGCTTTTCACAAGCGACTAACGCTCATGATCTTACACCCCCCGCATTTTGCTGAGGGCTTCCTCAAAGATCTTCGCAGTAGGCAACAAAGCACCAACAATGGCACTTCAGCACTAGGGGGATGCCCAGGCCACATTCCCTTGGTGCGTACTCGCCACACAAACACAAAACAAACACACACAGCCGATCTTTGCTCAAAGAGGCTTGCACACCTGTACCGTTCGCACAGGATTGTCTTGGACCAACTAGGGACCAAGAGTTCGTGGTGACAAACACGTAGCAAACTAATTAAAGCGGGCCGTTCAGAAACACTCAGTTCCTCTTCACGACCTCGTCTCAGCTCACCGTGTCAGGGCAGAAAAACCGCCAGGTCACCTGACTCAAAGTGGGGTCCGAAGGGAGCTGGAAGCCAGTTTCCACTCTTCACCAGAGGCGTCGAGTATCTTCTGCAGAAAACTTCCAGTACCAGTGTCGCGTGACAACTGTTCCAGACTGTATCCCAGCTGTTCCAGAAAAGAAGTGCTTCATGGCCTTTGGATAGGCCTTGCAGAAAACACATGCACTGATTGCAAAGGGCTCACACAAAAGGAGTCGGACCATGGCGGCGCGGAAGCCATGGCGCATCTAAACTACAGGCAGCTACACCACCCAAACGAGGTCATCAAGCACCTCACTTCGGGTCAGCTGCACCCATTGCCTCATCAGCCTTCTCAGAGGCCTTTTCAACCACCTGGGATCGGCGATCCTTTGCCGCATCCTTCATCATATCTGCTCCAACTCAGCAACCCTTTGGCCCATCTGCTGATCCTGCTGAGCAGCGCTGGACTCAGATCCCTGAGCACTGCCAGACGCAGATGCCCTTTTCTTCTCATCCAAAAGCTTCTCCAAATCACCCACACTGAGGCTTGCCTTCACCATCTCAGCGATCTGTGCGATCATCGCACCATCAAACACCGGAGGAGCAGGCGGGGAACTTGGAGATGGTTGCTCCAACCTAGCCTTCTTTGCAGCTTCCTCCTCAGCTGCATCCAATTCCTCGCGCCTCTTCCTCTTCTTTTCAGCTTCAAGCTCCAAGTCGCGAGCAGCTACAGCCGCCAACACGGCTTGCTCCACACTGAGCTCGACATCCACCAGCTTCTGAGTGCCCTGGGCATACGTTTTTGATTGTAATCAATAATCTTGTATTGATATTGATTGCTCTGTTTTTTCAATATCTCATATTGAAAATCATGGTGTGCTAATCAATATACATAATCAATAGCAAACACTATAAGAAGCACAGGCAAAATCAATATATTTGCATAGGGAAACTATCTACCAAATCAATAGCAAAACGCCTGAAAACGATATGCTGAGCCCTCAAATGCCAGGACAAAACTCTTCAAACCTACTTCAACCTGGCTAGATGGTGGCTGGTTGATTGGGCTGGGCTGGGCCGGGCTGAATTGGGCTGGGCTGGGCTAGGCTGGGTTGGGTGTGGTGGGGTGGAGTGGGGTGGTTTGGCTCCAAAGCCTCGAGACTTTGAGCTTAGCAGTTGCGGCAAAACAAGCAGGATCAGCAGCAGTCCCTTCAACAAGACCACACAACACAGATACTATATATATATATATATGTGTTCCTTTTGTCTCATTTATTTATTTATTTATATTGGCTTTTAAGGTTGAGGGTTTGTTTCAGGGTTCACGGTTTGGGTTTTAGGGTTTAGGTTGATGTTTGGAGTTGTTAAAGGTTAGGACAGGGTTTTGGGGTTTAGGATTTAGAAGTAAGGGGGTAAGGTTTTTGCTTTAAGTTTAGGGTTTAGGCTTTGGGTTTTGGGCATTAGGGTTTAGGGGTTTAGGTTTTATGGCTAATAGGGTTTATGCTTTAGGGTTTAGGGGTTCAAGGTTCAGGTTCTGCTTTTAGGGTTTAAGGGGTTGAGGGTTAAGGTTAGGGTTTAGGGTTTAGGGTCAAAGTAAAGGTGTAGGGTTAAGCTTATGGCTTTTAGGGCTTAGGGCTGTAGGGCTTGGGGTCAAGATTCGGGTTTAGGGGTTTAGGGTTTAGGCTTAAGGTTAGGGTTTAGGGTTTAGGGTTTAGGGGTTTAGGGGTTTAGGGGTTTAGGAGTTTGGTTTAGGTTTGAGGATTAAAGTTAGGTTAGGGTTTAAGGTTAGGGTCTAGTGGTTTTTAGGGTTTAGGCGGTTTAGGGTTTAAGGTTAGGGTTTAGGGGTTTTTAAGGCTTTGGGTTTAAGGTTAGGGTTTAGGGGTTTTTAGGGCTTAGGGTTTAAGGATAAGGTTTATTGGTTTAGGGTTAGGTTTAAGGTTAGGGTTGAGGGTGCAAGGTTAGGGTTTAGGGGTTTAGGGTTGAGGTTATAAGGTCAGGGTTTACGGGTTTCTAGGGTTCAAGGTTTGTGTTTCTATGGTGTGGGGAGGGTCCGGGTCGTAGCGCACAAAACGGCCCCCGGGCTAGTGAAACCCAATAAGTAATCCTTGGTAAAAGGATTACTGATTGGGTTTCCCAAAGCAGCTCATAGCGCACAACCCCCCCAAAAAAAACAGATAGCCCTTAGCAAAACGATTATGTGTCCAGGTTTGAAAAACAAAATACCACAAATATTTTATTTTATGGACCTTTTATCAAGGCCCAATCCACCAGAATGCCATCCAAAACAAAACCGAACCCGCCCCGATCAAACCTGATCAAATCTGATCAAACCATGGTTTGATCAGAACAAATCCTGATCAAACCATGGTTTGATCAGGTTTGATCTGGTTTGATCAGATTTGATCTGGTTTGATCGGGCCCCGATCAAACCTGATCAAATCTGATCAAACCATGGTTTGATCAGATCAAATCCTGATCAAACCATGGTTTGATCAGGTTTGATCTGGTTTGATCAGATTTGATCTGGTTTGATCGGGCCCCGATCAAACCTGATCAAATCTGATCAAACCTGATCAAACCATGGTTTGATCAGAACAAATCCTGATCAAACCATGGTTTGATCAGGTTTGATCTGGTTTGATCAGATTTGATCTGGTTTGATCGGGCCCCGATCGTTCTACTACTTTAGTTGTGCTGGCTAGGCGTGTATCCCGAAGGGATTAAACTCGACTAAGCGGAAGCTTTTTCATGGAGTGCCGTATGCCCACGAAGTCCGGGCAGCAAGTCCAGCAAGCATTAGAGGTTGATGGGTGGTCCAACCGCACCATCAACGAAAGTAAAGCGATGCATATGCGTAGCCCAAAAAGCGAACAGAGCAAGCGGAAAGTATCGATGCAACGACAACTTAAGCATTTGCATCTGAGTGTGGCGCACAGAGCATGCAAGAAAGCTGCAGCGTTTTAGCTGTGCTTTTCACAGTCACGCCGCCAGGTACGGGTATACCTCCCGGCTCCAAACTGCTTTCGGCACGTCACCAAGCCTTGCACTCCCTTCAGGATCTTGAGACAGTTCGGGTTTCGGAACGTAGGCTTTGGCTTCGGGTTTCTATATAGTCAGAACAGCAAGAAGCGAAAATTGTGCTTGAACTCGCTGCGCATTCTTGGCATCTTCGAGCATTGGCTGTTGCATATGTCACCGTTCCGCTCGATGCGGCAGCCTGCCACTCCTCTATTTGATGCACGTGCAGATGCCAGTGCCAAAGGCTCTCATTGCTGCATAGGTGGCTACGTGCGCCACCCCTCTTTAGGTCATCGCTGGTTTCAACAAACCTTTGCTCACGCTGATTTCCTAGCTTTGGGCATTGGGGTTCAAGCTGATATGGCAAGGGAGATTTCGTGTTATGAAGCTCTCGCACAGGCAGCGCTGATATTGGCGGCATCTGCCTTGCTTCCATGCAGTTGCATCCCAATCACACTCAGAGCTCTTTCAGATAACACGGGTGCGGAATCAGGTGTTAATGACTCCTTGACAACCAGTCAGCCCTTGTGCTTTTTCTTGGAGCGAATTTCACTTCTTGCAGCGGTGCATCGAGTCACCCCTGACGTATCGCACATACCGGGTGAAGCAAATGATAAAGCAGATGCTCTGTCTAGACCACATGAGCATCCATTGCCTCACGATTGTTTGCAGCACGAGCGCATTTCCGCTACGCTTCAGGATCTTTGGCTACCCCGGCCAATGATCAGTGTCTCACCTTCGTCTGTGCAGCTTCCGTGGCAAATTCGTTCGCATGGAGTGCCCACCAACCTCACATAAATTCGGGGTGTTTTTCTTAGCGAGGTTGCTGGGTAGTTCTAAATTGGTGCGGTTGGACCACCCATCAACCTCTAATGCTTGCTGGACTTGCTGCCCGGACTTCGTGGGCATACGGCACTCCATGAAAAAGCTTCCGCTTAGTCGAGTTTAATCCCTTCGGGATACACGCCTAGCCAGCACAACTAAAGTAGTAGAACGGTTAGTGTACTTGTTCACATCTGTTTTACTACTTTATGTTCGTGCGAACATTTGGCTCAGTTGTGCTGGCTAGGCATCTTTCTTGAAAATCCTCACCCTCCCGCCCATTTCACACCTTTCGGTCTCACCGGCATTGGCTACAAGAACGCTTCAAGATCCCCGTAACAAGAAAGTCAAAAGTTTCGGCTTCGGGGCAGCCGTATCTAGAGTGCAGTGCTTCACCGTGCGTCTCACACCAGCCTGAATCCCAACCGTTTTACGCCCTCAGGCCCTCTCCTGTCACATTCTAGGCATGCTGCTTTCTTCGGGCTGGTCTCCGGCGACAAGTATCTAGCGATTTCATGCCAGCGCTCTGGCGGAATGCTGTAGTTCGTAGCAGCTGGGCTGTAGAGATCGTGATAAAAAGTATGCAGCATGCTCTTCATGACCGGAAAAAGGCTTGTAGCCCACAGCGCTAAGCCAATGAAGCGTTCCAAATCCTTTTTCGTCAAGCGAGGGTTTTTACGCAAATCTTGCACCATGCCCAGCAGTTTCAAGCGTTTTGATTCTTTAAGCAACACAATACCGGCAGAGTACTGAAAGTCCCAACCTATCCAAGTGACCCGAACAGAAATCTGCAGTTTGTGCCAGGAAAGAGGCACACCCATGATCTGCATGAACATGCAAATCATGGCACTCGTTGCTGGAAGAATGGACATCGCCTGAGAAAAGAGATAGTCATCTACAAACAAATGGCCTGTGTGGGCTATGTAGATGAGAATATGAAGAATGCGAAATATGCATGAGCCGAGTCGCCCCCACCAGTGCTGGGCAAACGTGGCTCCGAATGGGCATGTGCGATAGAAATAGAGGGCATTTGACCCGTCTGGTTCCTCACATGTGAACCCAAGCAGTCCTTGTTCCGCATCTTTGACAACGCAGCGCTTATGAGCGCTTTTGATGTCAATCGAAAGTGCCCCCTGAATCTGCGAGCATTCACGCAGGGGATAGGAATGCAAGACGTCTCGAGCTGAAGGCATGTGCTGCTTCTCAGGCACGGTGCAATTCGCGTTTGTGCCACAAACCGAATTATCAAGACAAAGCCTTTCTGATCTACCAGGAGCCCTAACAACCGAAAGTTTGCCAAGCGCAACCCCTAGGGGCCAGCGTCGCTGGGCATCGGCCAACGATCCGTTGAATTTGAAGCAAAAACCTTGATCGAGTTCTTCTTGAAGCAGTCTGCGAGTAACAGAGGGATCCACTGTAGCCGAGCGCCAATTCTGCAAGTGAATCGAAAGTGGTATGTCATCTAAAGATTCACGAGTGTTAGGCCAAAAATTGTGTGAAGGCGGGATATCCGACTGAAAGCCTGTTGGAACGCCTGCTTTCAACTCTGGGAACAAAGTTGTATCAGCGTCGCAGCATGTTTGAGCAACAGCTTCCAAGGCATTCAAACAGAGAGGCTGATGTTCCCGCTGTAACCAAGCATCGGCCGGAGCCGCAACGCCTAATGCCGAGAAGAACCCTGCCCTAACCGAAGCAACCTCTGAAGCTGAGAAAAGCGGTTCTTTGCTGGGCTCATAGCGACGCTGAAGCAGGCGGGAGGGGCCGTTCATGGATGCAGTGGCCTTAAGCAAGAAAGAGCGCAAGTTACGCAACAGATCTGGCGTGCGGGGAGCGCTCCAATCAGCGTGCGAATGACGACCCGCCCCATCATGAACTGCATATGGTAGCTGATCCATGGGCTTACGTGGCACCAGTGTGAGGGCCTCGCGCAATTGCAGTGCAGGGCCTGGTTTGTCCAAGAGAACTTGAATCTGAGCAGCAAAAGTGGTTGCAAGCGCCTCTGGATACTGAGCTGTAAACCTGCTTCTGAACACGCCCGAGCTGTCCAGACCGCGCATGACTTGATGTGAATCACGCCCACGCTCGCAAACACAGCCCATGTTCCGTAATGGCGCATAGCTGGAAGAAAACAACCAGGATTTTGCCCAAGGCAGGCCATAGCCGCACGCAGCCACCCAGACCAGAGAGGCTGAGCATTCATGAATCCAGGACTGTAGGCAACTTTCTTCCCAGGACATTGCTCCTGGAGGTTGTTCAACATGACCGTGTCCACCTGCTGAATAGACTATGGAGACACATTTGCAGCAGCGAGACAGGATTTCATGGCTTTCCTGGAGCTTAGCTAGGTCCGAAGGACCCAAGCCAGGTACCCCATCCAGGTATTCCGGTGTGCGAAGCGGGAAAGGTGGCCCACCTGAAAGCTTCAAACGCGAGTAATGCGAGCAACTTGGAGATGCTGCGCAGTATCCCACAGCGCCTGAACCGCAAATGAACAGAAGCTGCTCAAAGAAATCATCTTGCAGCAAGTCAAAAGCTGGGTCCAAAAGAATGTCAATAGAAAGCGTAGCAAGACCACACGCTTCCACAGCGCATGAAAGTGGCTTGTGCACCCCCGAGCATAAGTCGAGGAAAAAGCGCTGAGGGATGTTCGCTAGAGCATCCAGTGCATGCGAGGAACTCTTTGGGGGCGGGACCGGCAGTGGAGGTCTCAGGGAGTGGTGCCTAAACCCGAAAGCCGAAGGTTGACCCCAATTAACAGAAGACCCTGAAGCAGCTGGTTGTGGCTCGGCCCGCTGCAACATCGGTGGGCGCTCAGAAGGCACCTGGGGCGGGGATGCAATGGTAGGGAAATTGAGCGGGCCAAGAAGGGCATTTTCACAGTTTGCCATAGTGAAGGCTGTCAGGACCCAACGTTCCCCACAGAAGGGTTCTGTCATATGCCAGGAATGAGCCGGAAACTTGATTGGGTTTTCTTTCGTGCTATTGATTTTCCCCTTAAGCGAGGTGTTAAGCATTGGTATGAAGCGCGACTGGTCGCCTGATGCATCCTCAATCCAAAGCGAACCGCCAGAGAAGGAACCCAAGCTAACCGAAAGATTAAAAGATCCCGGCACATTAGCAGTATCTCTATGAGCAGAAGTGACCACATTCTTGGCCACGCACAGCGCATTCCAGGAATCTGCTGGGAACTGTAAGCGCAGAAAATTATTGAGGGCTTTGCACTAGTGCCGAACGATCGCTGACCTGACAACCAAAGTTCCAGTAGCCTGATGATACAGAATTTGCCGAAACAACCGGGCGAGACTGCGAGCCTGGCGGTGGCCAAGAAGCTGACTGAAGTAGCGCTAGGCATGAAGCGTAATCATGAACATTAACTTCAGAAGCAGAGGCTACTGATGTGGTCGAGGCTTGCAATGCACTGCTGTGTGTACTGTGAAGCGAAGCTGAACCATGACGCATGCCCGCAAGATGCGGAGCATTTGGAGCAACATGCTCCGATGCTATGCCCGACCCGGGCACCACGCCAGGAAAAGATTCCCTGCAAGAAGCACCTCCGAACTCCGGAGCAGAAGCGGTAACGCATGGTGATGAAAGCGAAGCTGAGTGTTGTGTTGCCAAAATGGCTGGTGAAAGCTGTTCCCTGCACGGGGAAGCAAAAGCAGGTCGAGAACTCGCAGGTGTCGCATGAACACGTAGCGGGTCCTGACCCGAAGACTGTAGGACACTAGAAGCACATGAATTCGAAGCTGGCAAGTGTGATGAAAAATGTTGCAGCTGATCTGAGGCGGCCGGTCCTAGGAAGCCAGCCGGCCTGGAGGCCGGTGAAACTAGCACATTTTGGGATTGTCAGTGCGAAGTCGAAGCGTGGTTGAGGGCATTGTGGGCCTTGCTCATGCAGGCGGAGCCATCACCCTTCGGGTACGCACAGTTGTGCAAGAATGCACAGCTCGCACCCCTGCTGCATTTCCCGGATTGCCACTGCATGCACAATTGTTTGGTCTCGCCATTGACCTGAACATGCTTCACCCAGGAGCCCGCACCCCCTTTGCCCGAGGGTTTGCCTTTGGAACCTTTTTCCTTGCCGGGGCTTTTGCCTTTGCCTTCAAAGCTGTAGCCCTTCCAATGTTCCGACATGAAGCGACCAAGCCCTTTGCCCTTGATGCCTTTCTCATTGAAGCGCAGGGGCGGAGGGGGCCTAGCCCTTGCCTGAAGCAAATTTGACATGTCACCCCTGATTTCGGTATACTCGAAGATTGCATCGTTCAAGTTCCAATCCTTCTCAAGAACCAGAGCGTAAATCCCCTGCCACAATTTGCAATCAGCCAGCTGGGCCTCTAGAATTGTGGGAGCTCGCAAGCCTGATGAAGCTTCGTGGCGCTGAGACAAAAGATGTATGAACTTGCTACTATAAGCTTTCAGGCGAGCCAGGTGACAAGAGCCTACCATGGCCAGTGCAACATCGTGGATTGCTAAGATCCTTTGCACTGCACTGACCCCCATGAAGTTATCGCCCACCTCCAACGTGGGAGGCTCATCAAGAAGCAAACTGGAAATGCCGAGCGCTTCCAAACGCGGCTGTTTGGCTGGCCTACTCAATTGAAGCTCGGCCGCTTTCTCTTCTGACATGCGATGCTTCCAGGGAATCCACTTGTAGTCTTTCTTACTTTCTTGATGAGCAGCTAGAGATACCAGACGAAGCGAAGGCATTGAGCATGGAGACAATATCTCGCTCGTGTATGCAGCAAGAAAGGCTTTCTTGTACTCCGTAAGCTTCAAAGCTGTGATTTTTGGCGCGAAGGTTTCTACCCAAGAACTAGTCTCTGAAGCTGATGTGGGAACTGCAGGCGGGGCCGAAGATGCGCTGCTCGACAACCCAGCCCACGCTGCTCGAACTTGCGCAATCTGAAGACGGGAAAGCTCTGAAGATCCAAATATGTCTGGAATCACTTTCTCAAGATCAGCTGGGGAATCCGCCGCATGGCGGAAGGTGGACAGAGTCCACCCCGCATCGGTTGCCACCTTGATGAGAGCTTCCGAGAGGCCTTCAGCTTTAAGAATATCACTCAGGGACATGGCGCGAGACTACCCCCTAGGCTAGAGAGCCCTAGAAACCGAGGGAACCCGAGCCGAGACTACAGGGACTTTTTGCTGTAGAAAAACTCAAAACCCAAATTCAAGCGAATATAAGTTGCACGCACTCCGTAACTATAAAAGTCAATCAACTCATATCGTATCGCATCACTCGGACCCTTCTTTTCTTTCAGGGGGCGCACCGGGTTGCCCGGCCTTAGGCCGCGGGCTAGGCGCACTGCCAACATGCCGTTCGCATGTTAGGCCAACATAGAGCACAGCCTACGGAGTGACTCACAACGGAAGTTGCAAGATCGGCCCAACCGACCTGAAGTCTCGACGGGCGCGGTGGGAGGGTAGTCGAGACCCGTCTCCCACTCTTGAGTGGCAATGTAACACAACGTGAAGCTTTCACATGCTCTTCAAGGAAATTTCTCAAGAAATCACTGCACGAAAATACATTGCTTAAAGTGGGAGAGGCAGCACACGGGTTAGGGCATTAGGGTTTTTGAGTTTTCTTCGCTCGCCGCCACGGCGGCTCGTCAAGAACGCAAAAAGGTACTAGCTGTCGTCGCAGGCTAGACAGCAAAGGTACTTTTTGCTGTAGAAAAACTCAAACCCCAAATTCAAGCGAATATAAGTTGCACGCACTCCGTAACTATAAAAGTCAATCAACTCATTCATATCGTATCGCATCACTCGGACCCTTCTTTTCTTTCAGGGGGCGAAACCGGGTTGCCCGGCCTCCCCAGAAAGTAGCAGCACGGTACGTTCCCTCTCACGGCTGGCGATTACAGATCGACCAGCGGGATGCCCGAGATGGGGCATGAGCACTTAACTCGCAATGCACCCGAATCAAGAAGCGCCCTACACTCACCGCGTGACGGATCATCCGAAGGATTAGATGCTGAGGGTACCCTTGTCCAGTAGGTCCACGACGGACCATGTTTCTCACAGGATTCCCATGTGAGAAGCAGCTCTCGAAAGTGATCACTGTTAGATGTTCCTCGCACATAGCTGAGAAGGACAGCGTCGTTATCTATGAAGAAAAGGCAATACTGTCCAGACATGTACTGGTGGAAAGCCTTGCGTGCCACGGCGACAGCGTACGCTTCAACGGGTCCGATAATGTGTTTCAGATGCTGCCTCCACCTGTTCGTCAAGGTACAAGGAACCTCGCAAGAGAAGAATCGGGGCCGCGCATCAGAAGGAGAGTAAAGGATACCTCCAACGGTATTGCCAGACTGTTCGCTCGCTCCGTCCGTGAAGATCAGAACAGGCTTAGGGGCAACCACACAAGGGACTACCCTAGGGGAACCGAAAGAAAGGCGGTCAATGAGAAACTCGAAAGCCTCGATCTCGCGGGAACCCAAAACAAACCGGGAGGCGTGGCGTGTGGAAGCGGCTCTCAGCTCCGCCAATGCGAGCTTGCCGGTTCGACCCATGACCTGTGCATCGGAAAACTGCACACGACCTGCAACCTTGGCAAAAGTACGCATCTTGATGCAGCCTTCACCAATACACTCACGGATGGCATCACACACCTCACTGGATCGGCCTTCCTTGTTCCTGATCCGAATGACACCTTCCCTGGCTCCTTTCACGTCAATCTCAACCCCTAGCATGGACGCGACGTCTGCAAATGGGCTCAGTTTGTCAAGGGATGCAGAAAAGCCAAGCACCGAGGACAAAACGAGCAAAGTGTCCATGGTGGACCTTGAAAGGCAGCAAGGGCTCATCACTGGATAATCGTCAACGAAGTTGGCCCAGAACAAGAAGACCTCCAATCCTATCCGCCACAGCAACCTCGACAACCTGTTAAAGTGGAGCACGGATGATGTGCTTCCGAAAGGCAATGCCTTGCCCTCAAACAATCCCAGGTCGCCCGTATCCGGATTGAGAAGGGCAACGACTGAGAAAGCACGATGGTTCGGGTTCAACGCAAATTGGCGATAAGCATTCTTCAAATCAAAAGTGCACAGCTGAGGACACCAAGACGAACCCGCCCAAGCAGGGTGCACTCGACCAACCAACGGTGGTCCGCTGGTCATGTCCAAGAAGAATTGATGATCTGTCGTGTGAGCTCGGATCCAGAACCGACATATTGCAATGATCTCGTCGAGTGCCCTTAGATCCAACTTATCCCCATAAGAAAAAGACCCGTTAACTAGATTCTCAGAGTAGTCGTCAATCGGTCTCAATTTGCGCTTGCCTCCAGAAGACTGAATCACGGCGAACCGGCGCACAGGGGCCCATGCGTCACCGTACCGTCTCGTAAGCTCTTCTTCGGTAAGCGGTCCTTCCAAGAACCCTTCGGCGACCTCGGTCAAGGTCTTATCCCAAAGTTCAGACGAATGCTCATTCAAACCCTCGGACACGACCTTCCCCAAAAGAGCCGGACGGCCGGATGTACTTGCAGGCCTTAGTAAACTCGTCAGACGTCCTCTCCTGGGGACGAGGCTCCTTCTTAAAGACACCGGTGGGCTTCTGGCAACCAACCAAGCCAAAACCTTTACAAGTGTCCTCAAACCATCCATCGTCGGGCCACTTCAAGTCGTCAGCAATGCGTTTGAGCAAGAGAAGCCGTTTGGATCCTAACACAGACCTCACACCCGGCTCGAGGCCCTCCTTAAGTCGGGACTCTGGTTCCTCCAATTCCTTGGCCCATTCTAACCACTTGTTGACAGTGGCCACACGTTGCCTACCAACCCACTCCGGGCCCTTCACCAAGGCCTCTTAAAGCTTTCGTTTCACCTCGTCGGGGATGACAGCAAACGTCTCAAAGGGATGCCGCAATCCTTTGGCCTCCTCCAGAAACTCATCCGGTGTTGCATACACACCAACACTAAGTTCGAAGCCACCCGACTCCCCCGCATCCTCAGTGGCGAGAAGCTTGGATCCGGCGGGGATGTCATCGATAGCGTGCTGCAAACAATTTTTATGATCCACAGGCGGAATCTGTGGCACTCGACAGCTGCAGACGCGACCAAACTCTCTGATGAGGCTCGCACCAATTTTACCTCGACGCTGTTGTGTGACAGGCGGAGGGCTGGGATGCAGCGGAGAAGAAAGAGGGTCAACGCCACAGTGTTTGGCCACAGCATGGGCAAGCTGCTGACAGAAAAGCCTGGGATGGGTATCAACACCGCCAGTCACAGGCGTGTGACTGTGATTACCCTGGCACACCCGCTGTAAACACTTGAGTGCACTACAAGACGTCAGCAGTTGCCTCCGCAAGCGATGCGGAGAATCGAAGGCACACAAATCGTACACAACAGTAGTGGTGTTGGCGAGCTGGCGCACAGCAGGCATATGCCACAGGAGGCTGGAATGCGGATGCTCGAGGGTCCAGGCTATGCCCATTTGGTGAACTCGTTGCAAGAAGGTGATGACATGTTCCAACAAGGAATCGGCTAAGGCGAGCCTTTGAACCCGAGAGGCGTCGGCACCGCCCTCAGGAACGACAGATCCATGGGACAGTCGGCGGAGGCCCTGCTTAGGTCCATAAGTGGCATAGGGCAACTCAATATGCACGTACCGAACATGATAGTTGTCAAGCACATGCGCGAGATACTGCCACGAGCTCGGCAAGGCAAGATCCAATGAGCACAGCTTAGCCAACGGAAGCCGGTGACTTCCCCTATCTATGGGCATGACCTCAAAACCAATTTGATGAAAGGCTCGGGACAGAGAGCCTGCACGTGCAAACAGCTCAAGCACAATACCCGGCTGGTCACCCAGCTTGGCCTGAACCTGACCAGTAGACTTTCCGGAATCGGCTAGGGGGGCTAAACCTGACTTGGAGGAAACAGGACGCGGGAGAGCAATTGGCTGTTCGACGACGAGTGGTTTCGGAAACTCATCAGTAGCACACCCCTTGGTAACGACCGGCGCTTCATAGCACACCGGTGGCGACTGTTCGGCATCAAGAATGTCGGCTTGCAGCGGAAGCTGAAATTCCAACTCGGTCAATGTAGCACTATCAGTCGCACTGAGGTGATCAATGGCGGAGACTGAAAAAGCAACTAAAACCACCCTATCACCCGACCAAGCTCTGGTGGCGTGAGTCAACCGGCGAGCGGTGAAGACGGCATGATTGCCATCCAAGCTAAGTTCGACGCCACTGCGGAGTTCGCCATCCACCTCGCACCAAGCTTGGCCGCCTGGTCTCTCAACCCACACCTGTCCCTGATCGCAATCAGACAGTGCGAACACAGCATTGGGCAAAGAAGAATTATGCGCATCCACATGAGGTGTGGTTCGGACGTTGTGAAAGAATGCTAAGCTCGTGAACTTTAAGCTGGGCAGCTGCTGACGCACAAAGCGTGCGGTCAACTTGGTCACGTTCGGGAAAAGAGAAACATTGTGTCGCAACCCAACCTTGACTCTGCAATAGGCACCTGTGGAGAAAGATACTCCTTGCGTCGGGTCGCCTCGGACAGAAGCTTCCGTGGGGAGCGATTGGAAGATCTCAAGTAAGTCAGTGGGGGAGACAAAATCAGCACTGTTCAGCAGGGTTAGAGCTCGATCCTCGACCGAACCCTTGAATTCGTGATCAAGACTGGCACTACTGATCGACTCAATTTCATCGACGGCCTTGACCTCATCAGTCTGAAGATTGGTTTGAAGTGAAACGCGTGCAAGTTTGTGAGCAGGAGCCTGGGCCCCTAGTCACTCGGTTTTGCGCTTTGGGCAGTTGGGGTAGAAATGCCCAGGCTGGTAACAAAAGCAGCAAATGTGAGCACCCCTGAAGCACTTGTTGCCCGTCAATTGCCTAGTGCATTTGCCCCGCTGGGCATCAAAGCAAATGGGCACTCCTTTCGGGGTGTTTGCGTGCCCGTCCTGCAGGTCCTCTGGCCTTTGCCACGGCCATACGGAGTGGGTCTCTCAAAGGGAATCTTAGCGGGAGGAGGCGACGCGAGAGGAGCCAGCAGATGAGACACCTCGGTCAAATCGGCGCAACGCATCCACGCCTCGTCCAATGGACGACCGGTCTCCGTGACTTGCACTCCACTGCGGCATTCATTAGCAGCGGTGACAAACAATTGCTTGTCAGCTTGAAGCAACTGCTGTATGCTGACTCGAATGTATCCCGAGGGCACCTCACGATACCTGGAGTGCAAAAGGCGCTCAGCCCATTTCTCATGTTCTTTAAAGCACAGCAGTCCGGCCTGTTCCATTGCCAGCCCTCGCCGAGTGAGGGCGAATCTGAGTAACAAATCAGTGCTCAAGTCGGCTTCACCCCGAATGTCGGCGTTCTTGATGTGAACATTACCGCTATTGTCAACTGTGAGGGTACGATCCTCCTTGTCCCGGGAATTCCGAGTCTCATCGTCCTTGCTCATGCACCAACTCAGCGGCAGATAAGTAAGGCGATTGTTTTCATACATTTGACAACACTTGTCCACTGACCTGTCACTCGGTTCATTAGGCCCAGCGATAGTCAAGCCTGGATACCGCATCACTTGACGAGCAAGACGATCCGCTCGGTCGGGAGCGGCAAGACTCCTCGCTGGTGCATCGGTGGTGCGCTCAACCTGAGATTTAAGCTCGGCCGCGACCAAAGCAAAGGCCTCAGAATGCAGTCGGCGCAACACCGAGAGCTCCCCCACGGTAGCATCCCTCTTCAACAAGTCCTTTATGGAGGTGACAAAAGGACCCTCATCACTCTGACCTGGAATGAAGCTGCTCACATAAGCAAACTTGGCAAGAGTGTTGACGCCACCATCAACAAGTAGCTGAAGCACCTCAGCTTTCAAGCCGAGTTTCGCAGCCCGGGAGCTGAAATTGGCCTCACTCTCAGTAATACTCATGGTTCCAGCTTGAGCCGACCTGACTCTCGTGAACACGTGTAGGCTCCATCGTTGTTGATCACAACGATTTGCAAACAACTCTCTACTGACACTCACACATCGCAATAGCGCTCAAGAATTGTTTCGCCCCCAACTCGTGTCGCGTCACCTTCAACATCGCGATGCCACTGACATCCCATCACCGTGACACGCAGGGCCCATGGGCACACCGCACCGATGTGAAGTGTACAATCCTTGGCGCTGGCACGGTACACTGTTGCAACAACATGTGGACAAACCGCGCGGGGCCGACACGGCACACCGTGATCATGCCAGGACCGTCCCTTTCACATCATCAATGTTCTGTCGTGGCGGGGTCTCGCTGACACACCGTTGACCCGACATGTGATACGACTCGGGGCAAAATGCACACCGATGACATTCTGACGCGGGGATAGCACACCGGCCATCGACCTCGGTCGGGGCCGCAATGGCACACCGTCCTCAGTATCCCTCTATGTCACGCTCGCCAAACACAAATCTCAGCTCTGATCCCCTCTAACCTGCTCTCCAACAGCAGGCTCGACACTGGAATCTGTTTTGACAGAGTTGAAGCACCTGGCACACACAGGGTACAGAAACGATGGAACAGCTGCCACCTTCTCGTAGTTCTTCGTGCATGTCCTGCCGCAAGATAGAGAAGTTCCGCCCTCGTCGGCAATCAAGTGCAGCATGCGTGAAGAACGATTGCGAACCAAGTGCTCTGCCTTCAACTCGCGCTTAGGCACTTCCTCACTCCAATCATCCACGACCCCGTCCAGCGCTCGCTCGAGCTCCTGACAATCGGTCTCGGCATCTTCTTCATCAAGAGACGCCTCTGAGGAAGCTTCGTAGTCGTAGCTGGCGTTGGGGTCGTCCGCCGTGGGGAAGTACCCGCTCCGGGTACTGTCCGGAACAAAAGTCCCTGACCGAATGGTTGCGAGGACTTTCTCGAGCACCCTGACCGATGCCGATACGGCATCGCGGCTGTAGACCTGGGCGCTGCGGTCGCCCGGAGCCGTGTGATACCCCAACACCCTCTGATCATAGCTGTCGATGCCGAATCTGGCACACCAAGATAGACAAGTCGCTTTACATGAGTGCGTTCCAATAGGGGAACACTGGGCCTCAGAAAATCCGCACTTGCGGAGCACGTTCCTCAACCATCCAGCAGCGACCGAGGCACTCGGAGGGTGACTAGCCCAGTGTCCGGTGGTCAAAATCGCCGGCAGGACGGGAAGCCCCTCTCCAACAGGGACGTTCAATTCCTTTCTCAGCATGGACCACGCCTGGAACCAATCTTCGCCAGAGAGACCCTTGCGTGGACACACCATCGGCAGCAGCTGAGTTTTCCTCTCAGTGGTGTAAGATGTCTTGCTGCGTGCGATGTCGGCCTGAAGGTAGCCTCCAAGCCCAGACGGGTCGACCTGCGGCTTGTCCTCGCTGACATTGTACATGTTCTGTGTATCAGAATACCTGGCCCTCATAAAAGTCGAGAGCAAGAAGAATCCAGCTATGAACCGGTCAATGCGATCCCCATGGGGGGAAACTATAAACCTCTCAAGTCGCTGTACCATCTCAGTCGACAACGGTGGGCGCTGGACCCTCTTCCGCTTTGTCAAGTAGCATGCCCTGGCCACACCACTCAATCTCATGCTAGCCATCGCCTCCTGAGCGCTCTCCGTTCCAAGAATGAAGAAACAAAAGGTCACCGCGCTCAGGAAGCTTTTGAGGAAACTCGGCGAGCATGTATGTTCGCACTCACAAGCAAACTCGTACATGTCAGCCTCCTTGAATGGAAATGCCAAGACTGCATGCCTATCAGCCCATGCCACGTATCGTATGAGCGGATCAGCCCGACTGTGCAGAGTTCCAACTGCCTTACCTGCGAACACATGTCGCAGCGACCTTGACACTTGGACCCCAGCAGGTGCCAGTGACGTGACCTTCCGACCCACATCGAAAGACTGAGGGCTCCTGAGTACAAGAGCAGTCCACTTCCGAACGGCCGCCACCAGTCTCTTCTCGGTCTGGTTCTCCCAAGAAATATCATGACGTACACGAGAGAATCGATGTGCAAAAGAGACAGCCGGCTGTTTGGGAACCGGAACAGAAATGTTGCTGCTCACAGGAATGAGGGGTAGTGGCCCCCTTCCCAAAGGTACACTGAAATCAAGCAAGCTATTTCGAAATTCAGGTGTTTCCCAAGGCATCCTAAAAACCGAGCCCTGAGAAGTTCGCAAACATGTGCTGAGGTGAGCATCGTAGGCAGAGTCGCTGGCCGTCCTCTGCCTCTTTGCACTTTCTTCGGATGCCATCCTTCAAGTGCTGCAGGCCACCGCTCGCCCCCAAAACTCGGCCGAAGCACTAACGCAATGGTTCCGCCTCGGGCTGCGAATCAAGAGCAGGTTGGGCACAGAAGAAGCTAGCACGGATTTGCCAGCTTGCGTGAAGAATTTGCAGGCGCTCAACAGAGGAAAGGCAGGCCCAAATCAAGCTGGCAACATCTCTCAGCTGAATTGTCCTGGCCAAAGCGGCCTGCATGGCTGGGCCCACCTCTATAGTCGAGACCCGTCTCCCACTCTTGAGTGGCAATGTAACACAACGTGAAGCTTTCACATGCTCTTCAAGGAAATTTCTCAAGAAATCACTGCACGAAAATACATTGCTTAAAGTGGGAGAGGCAGCACACGGGTTAGGGCATTAGGGTTTTTGAGTTTTCTTCGCTCGCCGCCACGGCGGCTCGTCAAGAACGCAAAAAGGTACTAGCTGTCGTCGCAGGCTAGACAGCAAAGGTACGCGCGAGGCCTAGGCCCAGAGCGTGAAACAAGTACGCATATTCAGCAGTTTATGGCCGGGTCGGCTAGTAGCCCTGCGACCGACCGCAGCCCAGGATAATGGTAACGCATAAGTGCAGCCCAAAATGCTTTCTGAAGCCAAGAAGAGCAAGCAACAATGCACATATTCATCAGCGTGACCCGAAGTCCGACAGCCCACGGCTGAGGCCCTGACCAGAGCCAAAGACGGAGCACAACCAGAGAAGCCCGACGCAACTGAAAACCCTGGAGTAGCAAAGCGGTTGCAACCTGCCCCCAATGACATTTTTTCAACCGCTCACCTGCAAGGCAGCCGATACTACTGATACAGCGGAATTCTGAGACGGTGCCAAAAGTAATCTGATGTTTGCAACAGCTGCCGCCACGACCAGCTGGAGAGATATTGAAGCACACGCGCTGATTCCCGTATTGATTGTACCAGATAAAACCACTCTGCAAAATGGAACCGAACAAAGCGAGATGCGTAGGGAAGCCGCACCAGCCTGAGGAGTGGGGCCCGTCGATCAGCGGTGGTTTCCTGCAGTTCCATGCGATTGCAGAGCTAACCTGAGCGTCACGAGAAGCAGGAATGGTTTGAGCCAAACAACTACTTCGTAACAAATGCGAACCAAAGGACTGAAGCAGACGCACAAGCAGACGCAACTCGAGCAAGCTTATGTTTTAGCACCTGCGCAAAATGCGACTCACTGCTGAAGCTGGCCATATGCAATGCAGCAGGCCTTACGCTTGCAAAGCTGAAGCTGAGGATTGAAATCCGAAGAGATGCGAATGTGATCAGCCGGAAGCGAAACTCCACATGCTGGCCTGACAAATGCACCATCATAAGGAATACCTTTCGATGCAGAGGCACGAACCAACACATGCTGGATGTTCGTCAATGAACCGAAGAGAAACTCATCCGCAGGCCCAAGCAGTGGCCCTTCATCCGCCGAGCTGTCGCCCGACTCCTCATCGGAAGACTGGATGTCCCGTAACTGAAAAGCCGGCACTTGCTTCTGCTGATCCTCCGGGAAATTTTCCTTGGAGGGAGGATCTACAAAAGGAAGTCTATTGCCAGAGCGAAGCGAGAAATGCCGAAAATAATGCCAGCTGCAGGGCCCAACCTCCTTGCTGTAGTTTTCCAACTGGACGTCCGGTTCATCCATAGGAGATTGCGCTCCCCTATGTAAGGGGGTCATGAAGCGAGCGCCCGAGCGGACAGCATGCTGGATCTTCATCTGTGCCCTAAGGGATGGGACAATATCATCCCTGCTATAAAGTTGGCTCGAAGAGAGCCGATGATGGCCTTGACAGGACTTCTCAAGCTGGGATACCTCCGGGCGCTGGCCAGACCATGATAGCATTGTAGTTTTGAGCGAATGTATTGTATAATTTAGCGTCGGTGAAGTTACTGAAGACGGCCTGCTACTTTTCCAAGGTAGAGTAATCACGTGACGCAGATGGCGAAGCGCAGCAGCGTAGCTCATCGGTTGCAAGGGTAAAAGTGTATTGCCTGAACTGTCCAGCGAGAGCAAAAGGCTCGAAGGCAAGGGAACCCCAGCATGGAGGGTAAGATGCTGATGTACTGCATTGTCCAGCGCCTGCAGAAAACGGTGGCACCACGAGTGATTGCCGTAACTCAAGAATCCATGGCACAGCAACCCGAATGGTTGACCAAAGCTGGTTGTCTTTGTTTGGAAACAGCTCCCGCGCAATGATTGCCCATCGTAAGCCAAGGAAGTGAGCTTAACCCTTTGGCCATCCATAAATCTCAGAGATGCCCAGATAAGCACCAGGAAAGATCCCAGCAGAAGGATCTCGGGATCGGTCGCCTCTCGGGAGAGAATCCTTCTTTCAATCTGGATGACCACATAGAGTGATAGTGGCACTGCTTCCTTTCTTTCGCGAGGAAGCTTGCTCTTAAGAAAACTGGCAATGATTTGCGAGTGGCTCACTGAGAGACATGCCACCTCAAGCATTTTGTAAACCCAACGAACAGCTTTGATCGCAGTAGAAGAGTGAGAACCAGCTTCAGGATCAGAACCACGAGCCAAACTCATCACAACCAATACATCAGCCATTTGAAATGAAGTGAGAGATTCAAGTGGAATTTGCATATCGCGCAAAGTGGCCAAGAATTGCTTGAACGCAGAGCAATAACGAATC